TAGTACATGACATTATTTTATTTACTTATAAGTGGCAAGAAAACATTGTCTTTGTATAAATGACTATTTAATATATATTTTAAGTAAATGCGTGCATTGCATTTTCTTTTTATGGCAAACCATATCGAAAAAGATTTTGTACATAATCCAATAATATGTTGTTTTTAATGTTTACATAAGACATTTCCTTTATGTTAATGTATTTTAGGATGTTACTATGTAGAACCTAACCTAACCTAAACCTCACCTCCAGCCAGGATCCATTATCATGATTGGCGGCTCAGAAGACGAGAAGGTTGTTGTGTGTAGCTGGTGTCTGTGTCAGTCTTTCTTTGGACATGAAAAAGAATTGGTAAAAGATAGAGAGAGATGGAGAAATGGATATGTGTTTTACGGGGTATAGGGAAAAACAGGAGAGAGAGAGGGAGAGAGAGACCCCAAGGCACGACATAGGCAAATGGAAATTTAAACATTAACCAGGGCAGTATAGCGCTATCACACCTTTGTGCACAAGGCCGCCACTCCCACTACACAAACACGAGTCGCCGGGCCTTAACCCAGAGGTAATCCGTGAGAATTTATGGCATGGCCTCTTAGTAATGATAAATACTTCTCGCTAAATCTATTTCATCTGCTCATTGTCGAAGTGAAATATATTCCAAAGAAAAGATATTTATGATTGTGTTTTATGTCAACTGTCGTGTGTGTGTGTGTGTGTGTGTGTGTGTGTGTACTGAGAACTAATTTCAAATTAATGTTATATTACTGTACCTATCAAATTACATTATTATGCTGTATTACTTCGTGATAACACCATACAAACTATTAGTACTGGTATATCGTTATATTTAAATATATTGCTTTACGCTACATTATACAGTATTAGTAGTCAAGAGACTCACTTTGCATGATCAACATTTACAAAGTAATTCGAGGAGCGATTTCAGACCACACACTCGTATAAACACATAACTCAAATATACAACATATAACATAATACATAACAACGCAAACAATAACACAGCCACTACTACATTCCTGTCACTCGGAATCGAGTATGACAATCATCCAGCTATAAAACAATGATATGAGTTATTAAAGATGTCACCTTCGTTGGTGAACAGATGTTGCACGTGTGGAGGGCTACATATACTGCAGGAGGGAGGGGGGCAGCAGCGTCTTTCGGGCTCTGGCACTTGTTTGCCTCGGTATGCAGTTGGGCTAATTCGAAAGTACTGACACCTTCTCGTGTGGTACTCCTCCAAGCGTTACGGTGTGGAGTGATGGTCTCCCAGGTTTGTCTTAAGACTATCTTTATACATTTTCCGTTGTCCGCCAGCGTTACGTTTCCCATACATTAGGTGGCTATAAAGTACTGTAGCTGCTTTGGCAGTCTATTGACGTCCATGCGGGTAACATGGCCAGTCCAACGTAGTTGTTCAATAGTAATGGTGGCCTCAATGCTCCTACAGTTGATGTCAGCTAGAATACTGGCATTTGTTCTCTTGTCCCAACAAACTCGGAGGATGGAACGTAGATCAAGTTGGTGAAAGATTTCAAGTGCCTTGAGGTGCCTTCTGTATGTGACCCATGTTACGCTGCCGTTTTCTTCTCGTGGGAGGTATCAGTTTTGGTCCAAGACTTAGGATCGTTCTGCCAGTCAGTGAGAGCAGCATGTTTACTCTTGACGAGTACTTCGATTTTCTGGTCGTTTTCGTCAAACCAATCCCAGTGTTTTTTGTGATGATTACTTTCATGGAACCCCATTCGGCACTCGAATTTTGGTTGTTTATTGTTGGGTTGTGTATCAGCCCCTGGCTGAGCTACTCTCTGAAATCATGTGCTACCACTGGAACCTCCAGTCCCTAAAATTAAAGCCTCTTCTAGAGGCTTGTTGCCTTCGCCATTTGGGGTGATATGAAGGGAGAGTATGGCACTGACGAGCCAATGATCTGTGCCACAGTTGTCTGAGCCATGCATGGCTCGGGTGATGAGGACATCTCGGTGATCTCTTTCTCCTACTATGATGTAATCAATGAGATGCCAGTGTTTGGATCGTGGGTGTTGCTAAGATCCCTTGAGCTTGTTGGCCTGCCTAAGAAAGGTGTTGGTAATTGTGAGGCTGTGTTCAGTTCACTTGCTGAGGAGGAGTAGGCCGTAGGGATTACACTTTCCTACTTCGTTTCTACCTATGATTTATTTCCATATGTCAGTATCGCTTCCAATTCTGGCACTGAAGTCACCTAGGAGCACAACCTTATCTTCTCTGGGAATAGGGGTTAGCATTCTGTAAAGGTTGACGAAACGACGTAGAAGGCCTCCAGTGTTGGGGCGTGTGCACTGATGAAGAAGGCATGACGTGAGTGATTCAAGGGGGGACTCGGAGCGTCATTAGGTGCTCGTTGATCCCAACAGCATTTCTGTTAACCTATGTAAGATGGATTGGCGAATGGCAAAGTCAACTCCCTAAATGTGTTGCCGGACCCACGGTTTGTGAGTCGACTCTCGTCTGGGAACAGGGACTCACTAATGGCTGCTTTGTCGATGTTATTCCTAAACAGCTCTGTTGCCACACGAGCGGTTTTTCTCTCAGGACTCTTATTTGTGTCAGTATCCAGAAGGGTCCGGACATCCCATGCAGCGACCGTAAGAGGTTGTTAGGTTTTGTTTTTGCTTTGATCATGTATAAGGGGTTTATATTCTCGTCCAATGATTGTTGGAACTGTGTTGGTCAGTGTTTGGTTTGTTCTATGTATCTGAAGCAGGTGTTGGTCATGGGTAGCTGGAACCGAGTCATAGTGCTGTGTGTAACTTGCTATCTCCTTTTTATTCATGGTCACGTGGGTGTAACTGCTGTACTCCGAGCCTTGTATGTCAGCTCGCCAACTAGGACACTGTCAGCCCTAGCCTCTGTGCTGTTCCTCCAGCTTCCATTATCAAGAATCTGTGCCGGTTAGGAAGATACTTGCTCTCATGTGAAGTTGTTGAGGAGAAGACACCTATTTACCACCTGTGCCCTGTTGATATAGAAAACCCCACGCTTGACATCTAGTGTCTACACTCCAGACATTTGTTCCGACTGGTTGTTCGGCACTTCCATACCTACAGTACATATGTTTATGTTGCTTTGGACTGTCTTCATGCCGATTTTCAGTGTAAATAATTGTAAATAGACATCTTTTGTTTCAAATATCCATAATCGTGTTCAATATCCTTGGTGAATGCGAAAGTGTTCCACCTGACAGTAATCTGTATAAGAACCAGAGGGCATTAACATCTAAACCTTCGATACTGTGATTGTGAGTATGTTTTCGACAGCATAAGGATGACCTTATAGGGTGTGGTTGCCCAGTCTGGTTGTTTTTGTAGGGAGGCTATGTTTAGGCCTCAAACTTTTTCACTCCATTCCCCCCATGAGGAACTCGCAACATCCTCGTGGCCCCCCTTCAGTTCTCTCCCATGGGATGGATGACATTGTGTCCTTTTAGTCAGTCGACTGATTCGAGGTTGAGTCACCGATAAAGCGCATCTCATGTCTGGGTCCATATGTAACCGGTTTCGGCTTTTATTCTTTATTTGAAGAAGGGTGAAGAAAATGGCAAGAGGACTCGAAGTACGATCTCACTAACTTTTGGATATGACTGATACATTGAGCACCAGAATACAGTCAGAGATTTTTCTTCATAGAGGTCTCTGGCAACAGAATCGTTCCTGAGATCAAGGAACTCGTCCTGACCATCGTCGGGAATGGCAGCAATATCAGGAGTGCCAGAGAAAGGATTCCTCACCAATTTCCCTTCTTCCTCCTCGAATTCTGGGAAGTACCTCCAAGGATTTCAAGTGCTGAATTATTTAATTTTTAAGTGATGGGTCAAGTAGATGATCCTCTTCAATCTCGTCAAGAACAGTTGAGAGATTCTCAAACATGGCAACATTTCCTGCACTGACTTTCCTTTGCCAGTTCTGGAGTTTGTCATGAAATGCACGAATACAATCCATGTGGTGAAACATATTTGTTTCCTTGCCTTGTAGCTTGAGATTCAGCCTGTTTAGCTGCTCAAATATGTCTGCCAGGTAGGCAAGACGTGGCTCCCACAACACCTCGTTGAAGTGACTTAGTAGATCATCCTTCCCTTTCATTTCCAGGAACAACTTAAGTTCTCCCCGAAGTTCAAACACTCGAGTCACAACATTACCCTTGGAAAGCCATCGCACTTTGGAGTAAAAGAGGGGGGTTTCATGCTCTGAATCCATGCCTCTACAGAGGTTCTGGAAAAGGCGAGAGTTCAAAACTCCTGCTTTCACAAACTTGACGCATTTTACCACTGCCTCCAGGATCTTGCAAAGGGCATCAGGGAGGGTTTTCGACGCCAGTCCAAAACGATGGATCATACAATGAACCCCTTTGGCATTCAGAGCTACTTCCTTGACGTGCTTCTGTAACCCTGATTTCGATCCCAGCATCGTCGGAGCCCCGTCAGTACAGACTCCACAACAATTTTCCCATGTGATCCCGTTAGCTGTGAAGAAAGAAGTCAATTTTTCCATCACATTTCAAGCTGTTGTGGTAGTTTCAAGCTATGTACAGAACAAATATTCATCCTTGATGTCACGCAAGAATACATACCTAACAAACACGAGTACCTATGCACAAGAACTCACATCCGTTGACTCATCCAAACTGTTTTGCAAACATACCACTTGGAGACGATTTATTCTCCTGTATCACTTGTTCCATGATATCATCTGACATTTCCCTAATTCTCCGTTTCACCGTGTCGTCTGACAAGGAAATCTGCTGAATCTTACGTTCACTTGCCTCTCCAAGAACCCGCTTGACCATCTTTAAAGCACACCAATCGTGTGGGCCTTCTTCTTCTTTGCTATTTCAATGGAAACCTCATATGATGCCTCAACTTCACTTAAGTTCTGTTGTTGGAAGGCACCACTCTCATCCAGTCTCTGTTTTCCCAAACTCCGTTCATGGCGCTTGGAGAAATCGGGTCTCTCTCCGCATACTGGGGGTGGATTGTCGTCAGATGATGCTTCAGCTTACTAGGCCTCATGGAATCGTTCCCCAGTACTTTGAAACACGACACACACTAAGGTTTCTCGATGCCATCAGCGAGGATTAATGTAAATCTGTAGTTAATGTATTCATCATTGTACTTCCGTTTCTTAGCAACACTGGCAGCCATCGCAAATCTACGGAAATTAAAAAAACAAAAAAACAATGCTAAACAGACATAAACAGACGAATGATAAAGACTAAAAAATTTAATAATAAAAAACAAAAATGAGACATACATACTGTATGTAAACATACATAAAATGCCAATGCAATCACACGTAAGACATACACATACGTCCACTCACAGTACACTCACATATTTTCTTAATGATATCTTGAGCCAGACTGAGAACATTTGGTCTGATGACCACTTACTTGTAAAGCGATGACACACGGACATGTACCGAACATGTGAGATCATTGACTCTGTCCAGGGCCCGTCACCATGACAGGAACTAGAAGCGTGCAATCTGAGCGAATCCGTTAGAAATGAAAAACTAGCTGCTGCACCATACTATCTAAATATCAAAACTGTACCGTACGGGTATTGTGATTATACACAATGACAAAAAAAGTTACACCAAAAAAACGATTTCTCCTTACAAGGCAAAGTAACAAAAAAAAAGTTGAATAAGAGTTTCCACATTTTCTCCAAACATATACTACTTACACTAGCCCGCCATGGCCCCCCTAAAATCTTGCTGTGGCCCCCAGTTTGAGAAACACTAGAAGAAATTTCCCAAACTTTGTTTAGGGCATCTTTTCTAGGCCCCTCCCCATGTGGGGTGAGCAGAGTGGTTCCTGGTAAGGGTTGGTCAGTCACACAGATAGGACCGGATTGCATTGCTGCCTTGATCCCATTACATAAACAACCATCTTATCTATGCCGCCCATGTGCAGAGTTGTGACTAGAGACTTTCGGCATTCAACTCTGTCTGTCCCCGCTGCCACTCGTCTGTCGCCATAGGACTTTTTGGGGGATAGGGGTTTTGCTGATGATGTGAAATATGATGAGCTGGGTGATGGTGGTGAGGCAGGAGCACAGGTTGCAACCACACATCTAGGGCCTCCCTTTTCCTGATTCTGCTGTGCAGGTAGTTGCAATGCATGGGGAGAAGAGTTGCAATGGACTGCCGATAGCCCAGTTTGTTGGGTTTCGGCGTGTAAGTCTTTGGGTGCCTATGTTGGTCACATCTTTCACCTATACCGCCGTTGGGGTCTTGTTGGAGCTCTGTAAGCATGTCTGCCTGATGCAGGGCTCCACCGCAGATTTTTCGATTGGAAATTACTCCCGTAGCCTTTTCCCTAACAAGGTTAATCGGCAAGGCAGCCGGGCAGTGGATGGTAGGCGCCAGGGCTTGTCCACATGCCAGTTGACTTAAATGCCGTCTTTCTGGGTCCCACAGCTGCTCCGAGATCCCTTGCTAGTTTATCCTGGTGCCGTGTGGTACCCAGTTACCGTATGTTGCCACCAGGAGGCACAGCAGGAGTCTTGGTGGTGAAGAGGCTGTGTACTGACAGGGGAAAACCTAAGGAAGGTTGTTTCCCTGTTCATCACAAGGACTTGCCAGTGGCGGTAGCTGAAAGTGAGAGGAAGCAGGCAGTGTCTGCACCTTAATACTAACGTAATACTGCCACTAGACGCACTACACCACCCTGTATGCTCAAACACACACACACACGCACACACACACACACACACACACACACACCAATAACATACAACACAACAAAAAAAACACAACCAATAACACACAAGACAACAAATAACACAGCCAATAACACAACATAGCCATAACACAGTAATGGCTTTACAACATAGCCGCAACACGCAGGACCAATAGATAACACAAACCGTAACGCACAACACAAGCCAATGGCACAACCAATAACACAAAACCCGCAACAATTTAACACAACCAAAACACACAGCACAACCAAAAACGCACAACATAACCAGTAACGCACAACACAGCCAATAACACACAACCTGACCAATAACCCACAACGTCAATAACGCAACAAGACCAATAACACACAACACCAATCAATAACACACAACACAACCATTGACACATAACGCAACCAATAACACACAACACGTCAATAACACAACACAACCAATAACACAACATCCAATAACACACAACACCGGCAATAACACACCTTACATCCAATAACACACAACACAATAACCAACACACAACACAATCAATAACACACCAGCCTGACCGTTGACACATGGCTGACCAGCCAACGCACAACCTGACCAGCCCACAACCTGACCAGTAACACACAACCTGACCAATAAACGCACAGCACAATACAATAACCACACAACACAAGCCAATAACACACAGCACAACCAGTAACACACAGCACAAACAATATTGCAAGACAACACAACCAATAACACACAAGCACAACCAATGTACACAACCTGACCAATAACACACAGCACAACCAATAACACACCTGAAACCAATAACACACAACACAACCAATAACACACAACACAACCAATAACACACAGCACAAACAATAACGCAAGACAACACAGCAGTAACGCACGCCTGACCAATAGCACACAACACAATAATAACACACAACACAGCTAATAACACACAACACAACCAATAACACCTGCCCCTGAAACAATAACCGCACAACACAACCAATAACACTGGCACAACCAATAACACACAACACAACCAATAACACACTGCTTTAAACAATAACACACAGCACAATCGTTGACACGCCAGCGACCAACGCACAACCTGACCAATAACGCCTGACCAATGACACACAGCCTGACCAATAACACACAACTGACCAACCAACACACAACCCACAACCAATAACACACAACCTGACCAATGACACACAACACAAGCCAATAACGCTGAAGACAACACAACCAATAACACCTAACACAACCAATAACACACAACACAACCAATAACACACAACACAACCAACACACAACACAACCAATAACACACGGCACAACCCAATAACACACAAGCACAGCCAATAACATAAGACAGCACAACTAATAACACACCAACACAACCAATAACGCATAACACAACCATTAACAACAACACAACCAATAACACACAACACAACCAATAACACAAAACATATCCAATAACACACAAAACAACCAATAACATAAGACAACACAACCAATAACACACAACACAAACAATAACACACAACCAAACCAATAACACACAACATAACCACAATAACACACAACACAACCAATAACACACAACACAACCAATAACACACAACACAACCAATAACACACAACAACCAATAACACACAACACAACCAATAACACACAACACAACCAATAACACACAACACAAACCAATAACATAAGACAACACAACCAATAACACACAACACAAACCAATAACACATAACACAACCAATAACACAACAAAAATACACACAACACAACCAATAACACACAACACAAACCAATAACACACAACACAACCAATAACACACAACACAACCAATAACACAACACAAACCAATAACACACAACACAACCACAATAATAACACAACCAATAACACACAACACAACCAATAACACACAACACAACCAATAACACATAACACAACCAATAACACACAACACAAACAATAACACGAGACAACATAACCAATAACACACAACACAACCAATAACACACAACACAACCAATAACCTACAACACAAACCAATAACACAAAAACATAACCACAACACACAACACAAACCAATAACACACGACACAACCAGTAAATACACATAACACAACCAATAACACACAACACAACCAATAACACACAGCACAAACCAATAACACACAACACAACCATAACACACAACACAAACCAATAACACACAACACAAACAATAACACACAACACAACCAATATGACACAACACAACCATTAACACATAACACAAACCAATAACACAACAAACCAATAACACGCAACACAACCAATAACACATAACACAACCAATAACACACAACACAAACAATAACACGAGACAACATAACCAATAACACACAACACAAACAATAACACACAACACAACCAATAACCCTACAACACAACCAATAACACAAAACACAACCAATAACACACAACACAAAACCAATAACACACGACACAACCAGTAACACATAACACAAACCAATAACACACAACACAAACCAATAACACACAGCACAACCACAACACACAACACAAACCAATAAACACACAACACAAACCAACAACACACAAACACAAACAATACAAGACAACACAACCAATAAACACACAACACAACCAATAAGACACAACACAACCATTAACACATAACACAAACAACAACACAACACAACCAATAACACACAACACAACCAATAACACATAACACAAACCAATAACACACAACACAAAACAATAACAACACGAGACAACATAACCAATACCACACAACACAACAACAACACACAACACAACCAATAACATACAAACACAACCAATAACACAAAACACAACCAATAACACACAACACAACCAATAACACACGACACAACCAGTAACACATAACACAAACCAATAACACACAACACAACCAATAACACACAGCACAAACCACAACACACAACACAACCAATAACACACAACACAACCAATAACACACAACACACAACCAATAACACACAACACAAACCAATAACATAAGACAACACAACCAATAACACACA